CAGACGTCTTTTCTCATTTAGTTGAAACTTGTCTACTATTAATGATAAGAATTATAATGATAGTATGAGGGCTGCTGCAATCTCTAAAAGACAAACAAAATGATTTGAAGTTACTGCATTGAATTTGTTTCTATTTCAGTTTATATAGATGGTTGCTTTTGTCTTATTTCCTAAGATTCAAGAAGAATTTGTTGTTCTGTTTTTTGTTTATTTTAAAAATTTATTTATTTAGGCATTAGTTTTCATATCAAGTAAATTAATTATTTGTTGTGCAATTTCTGATTTTTGTTAGCCAAAGATAGTTAACGTACCGAAATAGTAATGTAATGTTTGTGATATTAGAGTAACTTTCTTAAAGAATCATTTATAAGACGTCCGGGAGCGCCATAGTAAATAATAATAATAATAATAATAATAATAATAATAATAATAATAATAATAATAATAATAATAATAATAATAATAATAATAATAATAATAATAATAATAATAATAATAATAATAATAATAATAATAATAATAATAATAATAATAATAATAATAATAATAATAATAATAATAATAATAATAATAATAATAATAATAATAATAATAATAATAATAATAATAATAATAATAATAATAATAATAATAATAGACATTCTGGCTTCGCATAAGCTCTCTTATATGGGGGTGAAGTGCATGAAAAATAATTTTTTGTATTGCCATCTCTTTGATATATTTTTTATTTATTTTTCTTGGGAATTTTTAGTAAATATAATTAGGTATATAAAACTTTGTATGATATTTATTTTATCCCTCATAATTATTTGTCATAGAATTTTACATTTTTATTGGGCATTTCTTAATTGTTACAAACAGCTAATAAAAAAGGAAAATTTTAATTATAATTAAGAGGAAAATTTACTTAAGCAATTATCTTTTTCTAAACAATACGAAATAGAGCCATAAATATTTCTATAGTTAAATTTTACTTTTTAGTGTATGAAAAATATGTACCTTCAGGTAAAAGTGAAATGTCCGTTTTTCTGGAGCCACTATTCCGAAATTTGATTTAATTATTTTCTCAATTTTTGAAATCTTTATAAACACAAAATTTTGCGATTTATTGCCATCAAAATTTGTTAAATTTTGAAAAAGTGACTCCAGAGGAACATATTTTAGCTACACGTACATGTTTTTTATTTCACAAAAAATAAAAATAAATTATTACCAAAATTTTGTATGGCTATATTTTGTATTAGTTAGAAAATAATTGCAAAAGTAAATTCTCCTTTAAAAAATCCCGCCAATTTTTAAATTAAATATAAAATTACGGGTAACTGCATTACCGACAGAGTAAGAGTTGATGGTAATACTGCTGGTAACTACATTACCGACAGAGTAAGATTAGTTATACTCCCCCCCCCCACAGGTCGCTGCAAGCAAACATGTTGCCAAATTTCTACAAAGAAACGGCAACTCTTAATAATCCTTCCTCCATGTAGTATACGCAAAGCTGTGTCGAGAGGTAGACGAGACGTGAGTCCGAATCGTATGTGTTTTTTCGTCTCAAACGTAAATTTTTACCACTCTCTTAGTTTTTTATTCAAAGACAATTGTGAAGGTGTTTTCAAAATCAGATTGCGTCAAAGGTATGTTTAGTTACTTAGTTTTTATTTAAGCGTATATTTGTTTGATTATGTTTTTATTTAAAAAAGCCATTTGACAAAAATGGCGGACAGCATCAGTGTCCAACAGTGAGACAAAATGTGTTGCCCAACAGTGAGACATATACTTTTATTATGTATTTTATAGGGTTGTGTTTTAATATTTCAGATTGCAATGAATTCAAGCAAACGAAAAATTGATAATTGCTTAGACCAGACTATGAGAGAAGCAGTAAATCTGGTTATGGCTAAAAAAAGTAGCTAGGTATGTTAAAAGAGCTAAACTGGCTGAAGAGGGTAGCGAAATTAGAATGGCTCCAAATTATCAGGTGAATGAAATATTTACAGATGAAGAGGAAGAATCTGTGGTAGATTATATAATACAGTGTTCAAGAATGTTTTATGAGTGTAGAAAACTTGGCTATGAAATGGCTATTGAAAACAAAAAGACAATTCCTGACAATTGGCGTAACAATCGAATGGCAGGGCTAAAATGGTTTCGCAATTTTCGTAAAAGGCATACACGACTGTCGCTGAGGACACCAGAAGGTTGCAGCTTGTCTCGTGCAACGTCTTTTAATCGGCACAATGTGTCAGTGTTTTATAAAAATTTACAAGATATTTACTCCAGAACTTCTAGTTTTACCGATGGTAGAAGAGTTTTTAACTTAGATGAAACGGGAACCGTGACCGTTCAAAAATTTCAGAAAGTGTTAGCTGTTAAAGGTGTTAAGCAGGTAAACAAGGTAACAAGTGGAAAGAGAGGCACCCTTGTTACCACTTGTTGCATGATCAATTCTACAGGCCAATACTTACCTCCGGCAATGGTGTTCCCAAGAACTCACTTTAAAGACCACATGATTCGAAGGACCCCGTCTGGTACATTAGGGCTTGCTACTCCTAGTGGATGGATGAATGCCGATTTATTCGTACAGGTTATAAATCATTTCATTAAATACTCTAACAGCTCCAAAGAAAATCCATCACTTTTTATTTATAATAATCATGAAAGCCACTCAACTTAGCCAAAGCTAATTGAATAACAATTTTGACAATTCCGCCACATTCCTCAAATAAAATTCAGCCATTTGATGTTGGTGTTTTTAAAACCTTTTCAACAGCACATAATGCAGCGGTTGACAGCTGGATGATGCAGCATCGTGGCAAACCGTTTTCTATATATGAAGTAGCTGCATGCGTTGGTTTTGCTCATGAAAAAGGAGTTACCCCAAGTAATATTATAAATGCCTTTAAGAAATGTGGAATATACCCCTTTGATGCAGAGGTATTTACTGATTCACCTCCGATTCAAGCGGAAAATATTGATACGGAAATTAATATTCCCAACACCTCTGTATCAGACGACGTTGATACTCGGTCAAAGGAAACGGAAAATAGAAGAGGAGGAGGTGAAAAATAATATTAAAAGTCCTGAGCAGTTTAGAGGTTACCCCAAAGCAGAAGCTCGTAAGACTAGTAATACACGAAAAAAGGGGAGAAGCCTCATAGCTACGGATACTCCTGAAAAGGAAGCAATCGAAGAAAAGAGCTTAGCAAGAGCGAATAAAAAGAGTAAGAAAGATAAAGTAAAGAGATTAAAGTTTAAAGAAGTGAAGAAACAAGTGTTTGGCGATAAATCTAACAAGTTGGAATATAAAATTAAGTATATAAGGACTAAAAAATTGGAAAAATACGTATCTTCTGATGAATCTGAAATTTCGGAAGAAGAACCAATATTAGATTCATCATCAGGAGATGAGCTTTTTGAAGGAATCAACCCAGATGATTTTCAAGATCTACACAGAATTCCGAAAGAAAATGATTTTGTACTAGTTGAATTTGCCGTAAAACCGGAGACAAGAAAGATATATTTCATTGGAAAGGTTCTTAAAACAATTAAGCCCAATCAAGAATATGAAGTCGCATTCGAACCAACAGAAGGGAACAAATAAGTTCATTTTTCCTGATGTTGTTGATGAGTCTGTGGTTAATATAACAGACATTACATTTATTATGCCACCATCAACTCCCTGTGGACAAACCAGTCGTCAGAACGCTTCTTTTACTTTTGAAATTGATTTTAGATTAGTAAATATAAGAAAGAACTTTAGTTTTTTTGTTCTTTTGTTAATACCAAATTGTGCCTTAATAACAAATAATAAATATTTGTTTACAAATAGCATTAAAAAGTTGTATTTCATGAAGAAATTATTATTATTAATTACAATGTTTCCTTTGAGTATAGTGCAAAATACCCACTGTCTCACTGTTGGACAAGAGCTGTCTCACTGATGGGCACTGTGGACTAACAGTGAGACAGATACAGCTGTCAACATTTATGCAAATGAAAAATTAGCCTGGTCTGTATAATTGAAAATTAAGTCAAAAACATGTAAATAAAGCATACAGCTATGTGTTCGTTTTAAAAAGATTATTTTTTCGAAATAAATAAGGATGCTACATCAATTATAAAAAAAGATGTCCCACTGTTAGGCACTCTCCCCTACCCCCTTTGTAATAAAAAAAATCATCGGATAACGCAGTAAAGAATTATCGGTGAACCTCCTCCTTTTTTGAAGTCGGTTAAAAAAAAGAGTCAAAATAATTTTTCTATCAAATAAATAAAAAAACTATCGCTATTGTTATTTAAAATATTGAAAGGATGAGTAGCTACTAGGAGCGGAAAAAATAATCGATTATTAATCGATTTATTGATTAATCGACTATTCTTTGTTTAAATCTATAAATTAAATCGATTATTTTCGAATATTCAATTATTTTCGATTATTTTCGTTTGTTTCCGACTAATCGTTTAATCGATTATTTTCGAATATTCGAATTTTTTCTATTAATAGAATACTTTCGATTATTCGATTATTTTCTATCAATCAATTATTTCGAATCGATTATTTCGATAAATCGATTATTTCATTATTTCGATTAATCGATTATTGTAATTGATCAATTATTTCGATTAATCGAATATTAAGATTGACCGGTTATTTCGATTAATCAATTATTTTCGATTAATGGAAAATAATAATCGTGAAATTGAAATAAAAAATTTGATGTATCCGATCATTTTTCACAATTTAAGCGGTATCTCACTGTATAATGTACAAATATAATAATTTAAATTTCCTGCGATTCTTGCTTTCATCTTTCGTGGCTTAGAGAGAGAAAGTATCTCTATCTTCGGACATATTTTTCTCATAATAATATTATAACATTATAACATAATATTACATAACGCTTTATTTTCTGATAAGGTATTCAGCGGTTCATTGATTTGAATATACTTAGAGCTTTATACCGTAAACAGTGGAAAAATAAATGACAAAAAGTACTTACGTGAATGTTTCAGAAAAAGTAGAGTGTGGTGGAATAGGAGCGTAAATTAAAAATGCAATTAACCCGGTCGAAAAAGCACTCCATTTTATCAGACTGTTACACAATGCCGACATTTTAGTCATTGTGGAAGCCAGGTGAATATTTCACAATAGTGGGTCAAGTAGCATACAACAATGTTCAAAACTCCTAAAACTAACACATTTTGTGTGAAAATAATTTTAAGTAAATGTACATTCACTTTACTGAATCGTGATTTATTTTCTAGTTATTTTTCTAAAACTAGACAATATTAGTTGTCATTTGTTTATTTTTATTTTTTTATTCAGCTATTACCTATAATAAACCAAGCCATTTTTGATCTCATGTAGTGTGTTGTGTATGTGTGAAAGCGGAACACAGTTCGCGAATGACACATTAGTGCGTATTTGTTCAATAATTTAATTTGTATTATAGACACGCTAACAAGTTTCAAATAAAAATTATATTGACTTGGAAAATACATATTTTAAAAATATTTTTTAATATACTGGGTGTTGCGTTTTTACCTGTCAAATAAAAATGAACGTATTTTATTTTTAGAATGGTTTGATAATACTCTATTTAACCCTAGAATGTTCTTAAAAATTTTTACAGTGTTGCCAAGCAATTATTTTTTTTATATTAAAGAATGATGTAGGCCCCAAATTAAATTATCATAATTATTTAGGTAGGTTAATTTCAAAATTGTTTAAAATACAGACTTATAAAATACTAATCTAACGAATAGTCTATACAACGATACCAATATGTTAGCCAATAACACATCCCATCAGTGCGTTTTATTGTTAGAAATAAAAAAAAAAAAAATATAAAAATTGTATGACCATATTTAACAATTATTCTTAAATATACAGGAAGGTCCATAAACGAGGTGCTGACCATATCTATACTTTTTTAAAGCAAAACACCCTGCAGGTAGTTATACATATTTGATTATTTTTACATCGTCAAACAATTCTAATTGACTTCATTCATTTGCTATGTTTAGGGTTACCAAAAATAGGTTTTTGTGAAAAAAATTGATTTGTAAAGAAAAACCGTTTATTGCATGAAAATACATACACACAACTTATTAATATAATATAATTATAACAAAATATACATATAAATAATATTAATATCTATACCTACATAATTAGAAAGTACTTGAACTTGACTTTGAATAATATTTTTTAGAAAATTTTGCTTGTCTTAAAGCTTTTTTTGATTTTTAATGTAAATATTTACAAAATTCCGTGCATGTCAGTTTAAAGTTATATGTATTTGCATTTCAAAATGGCCCATAGTTTCTGGTGCCAATTATGTAATGAAAATGGAAAAGGCTGAAAGTACGACAAAGTAAAAGTTTCAGTATGAATAAAAATTTCATAAAACTTATACTGTATCCTTTAAAAATCTAAAAAATTCATTAAAAATGCAAAATAAATTTTTATTTGTTTTCCAAGAGTTGTTTTTGTATTGTACATATATAACTTGATTTTGCATGTGAAAAGCTGGAAGTGCCATCATATATTTTTTGGTAAACGCTGTAAGTGCCATACCTTGTTATTTAAAATGCTGGAAGTCCAGCGCTCATTAAAGGATGAATGTTCATAGTGGTTTAAAAAAATGCAAATAAATATTACAAAAAATAAACTTATATTTTAAATAAAAAAGACTCACAACCATATACATATTATCTCTCTCTTTCTTCCCTCCTATTCCCCACCTTCTTTTAGTAGTCCTCTAGAAGTCGTCTTCTGCTTCCTCCTGATTGTCGTCTTCTTCTTGCTCCTCCACCGCAGGCTGCTGAGGTCCATGAACAATGGCCCTGTAGAATGCCTTGTCTTCTTCTTTCTTCAGGTATTCTATCATTTCTTCAAATCCTTTTTAGTTTCTTGAGATATCTTGCATTTAAACTGTATTTTTGGTAACTCATCCACATCGGGAAGGTCTTCAAGATTTGCATTTTTCTTTAAAACATCTACCTTGTCCCAAGTTACCATATTATCACTTTACCAAAACTGATGCCACTTTTACAATACAAAATGTGAAATGTTACTGATTTCAAGGTTTTTAGTGTTGAGGTACTTCTTAGCAAGCTCTTTGAAATCAATAAAATCCTCAGATTTCATCGAAACAACAGTAAAGGGGTTTTTTACGTACGCAGTAGTAACAACATGTTCAAGATCTTTTGGGACCTTTGCTTTGCATGTTTTGCGCCGCTTTTCAATGAGACCGAAGTCCCGGTCGCAGTTCATGTAACTATGTCCACTAACCAAGTACTTTAAATCTATTGAGCAATAAAACCCTTTTTTATCAAGTAAATTACTGCCATTAGGAGGAACTCGTTCTTATTTTGTGCTTCAGAGTTGTCACACCATAAAACTAACCTTCTTCTTGTTAACAAGGCCTCAGAAGTGACAACCTTAAAGAAGCAAGATGATATCTCATTGGCTCCTCGACCACCAATCCCTTCGTGCCACATACACATATATGCAAACCCATGGTTACTCACATGAATTCCCAAGTTTTAACGTGAGAGCTACCGGCAGTATAAAATATCACTGTGTGAGCATTGGTACAAACATAACTTGTTGCAAGTCCATACATAAGCAGTTATTATTATTACTTGGAAGTTGTGATGATACAATGTCTTCCTTCATACACGCTTGTTTTTCTGCTTTTCTATGGTGTAACTCCTGCTTTACTTTTATGGCATTTCTGGCATTTTCACTGAGAGCTGCTTGAGTTTGGACTTTAAACACGTCACATGTCTGTTGCTAAACATTTGAATTTTAGTTTGGGAAAGTCTTGTTGAAAAAATTGAGCATAGTTTTTGTAAGTTACTTTAGTTGTTGGATTTTGAACTTTGATAGATAAAAACACATACGGTTTTTGTTTAGGTCCGAGGATAGAAACTCATTTGTTATTCTTTTACGGAAATAGTGACTTTCATACCTGGGAAACGATTTAATGTGGTGCCGAACTAGATTTCGATCATTTTCTGTGAACTTAGCGTTCATGTGAATGTGGATTCTGACCTCTAGTATCTTTGTAAACCAAGCAACACTGTTTCTTTTTTGTTTCAAGAGTTTGTAGTTTCCTGGGAGTTACTACGCAAATCTGACGAAATGTTTTACTACACACTTGAACATTTTTACCCGATCCATCTGTAAGTAAAACTGCAAGAACGCCTACTTTCCTCTGGGTCATCGTAATATCCATTACGCCTACGGCCGACAGATACAAGTTGCATATGGTTTAATAAGTAGGTACCTTGGTTTTGTTCATTAACTTTGTAAAAATCCATGAACAGTAACAGTTTTTGGCCATGACTCACGTTTTTAGAAAAGTACTTGCATGAACAAGTGGGCAACATCAGGGGGGGTTTACCTGGTACGTTTTTTCCTTTACTAGTCGTATAAGGCTGTCCTTTCTTTTTGAAGGTGAGCTTTCTTTGGCGGAGGGGTTCGATTTTCACTCATTTTGAAATCACAGAAAATGTAAACTTTTCACAAAACACACACTATAACAGCAAAAGTGCACAAACTATTCGCAGTACGCGAAAACGCAGGAAATACGCAACACTTGTTATTCGCACGCGCCAAAAGCAACCACTGCAATGGAAAGGCACATTCATCATGGCGGGTGGCACTTTCAGCCTTTTCCACTGACGGTCAGCGGGCGCTTTCACGGTGCTTCTTCTTGCGACTGCTCTAGGAACTAGTAGAAATTTTTCTGACACTTTTAACCTTCTCTGGGTTATTGGCGATGTCGCTTACAAAACATTCCATGCAAAAATCGATTTTTTATTTTTTGGCATTTTCAGCCTTTTCCATTTCCCCTACACAATTGGTTCCTCTCGTCTCAAGAGAATAATTTAGTATAAATATTGATATATTTTGAGAAATTCAGATTTTTGATCTAAATTCTCGAGATCTTTAGAATCAGGACTTTTTGCCTAGTCGGGACATGAAGGTCAATAATGGTGACAGTTCCGATATATCGGGACGAATGGCAACTCTAGCTGTGTTGTATATAGGGTGTGTTAAAACGCGAGGTTACGATTTTGCCAATTTTTTAAATGGAACACCCTGTATTAATTAATTGGTTGCATAACCTATAGGGTATTCCATGTAAAATATTAAGAAAATCATTAAACCGCATTTTGTCACACCCTATGTACAACATATCAAATAAATGGAGTCTATTAATATCGTTTGACGATGTGAATACAATAAAATATATATAACTACCTGCAGGGTGTTTTGCTTTAAAAATGTATAAGTTTGGTCAGCCCCTCGTTTATGGATGATGTATATTTTAGAATATTATTATATACATGGTCATACAACTTTTATATTATCTTGAAAAGCAACAAATGTGGCAAAGAGCAAAGATTTATCTGTTCAATTTGATAAACAATTTTTACCATTGATGACGTGCAAAGAAAATTTCATTGCAATGGGTATATCCTATGTGGGTGTAAAACAAATTTTAATTAATGATCGTGCAACCAGCTATTTATGTTTCATGAACAATTTTGGAGTGTTTAGAAATAAAAACAAGAAATAACCTATTATTGTGACCTGCAAACTATAAAGCAAAATGCATATTTATTGAATTCTAGTTCATATGGAGGAAGGGAGATCGTATTTAATATACTTTTTAAATAAATGAAACAGGCCTGTGAAATTAGTTGCATATGTATGCATATGAATAAACCGCAACCATAATTTCAAATATCCTCACTGTTTGTGAACCAATATTCATGTACATTATACGCATTTGTGAAATGTATCGGAAAACAACATTTTGATTGAATTTCTGATAAATAATGGTATCTATTTCATGATAGTTTAGTTTGCAAAAACAGTATCAGAAACATATTATCAAAGTTTAAAAACCTGATTAAAGCCATAGTTACATCGTAACAAATTTATAATATAATATATTTGTAAACATTAACATTGTTTGTTTATTATAAATACTATTTAAACCAATACAATTCTTGTAAATAACAAGGCATGCAATAATTGTAAGTTGGTAATATCATTTAAATAAAAAATTTCGTGTTAGCGCAAAAAATCTTATTCTACGATCACTATCCAAAGTAGGCTTTTGCGCTTCGAAATACAAACGCAAAGTTGACGTTTTCCGCGAAATTGACAGATTTGTTGCTCGCCTAATGATTGAGAGTAAACCGCGTTGTCATATCTCAATTTTACGTTACCAGAATCAAAATATAGTAAGCAGTAGAGTTGAAGGTTGTGGCAAATTATAAATAATATACAATCCTAGTAAGATTAAAAGATATTATTTATGACAAAAATCTTTCTTATTTTTTATTTTAAATATGTAT